GTTTAGAGAAATAAAAACCTATAACTTTATTCTGTTATAAATGTCATTGTTTATATATTGCATAATATTTTAATTTTCGCATTTATTAGAATTCTGTACCATCCACATTTATTCATTTATTAAACAGAATATAAAGTTAAATAAGAATTTAGTTGTTTTACTGATTAAATAAGATTTGCATTTGTATGAGTGTACTATTACTGTAGACCTTATTAATTTTTTTTTAATTTATGAGCAAAACTGTTAATTTTACTTATTGTTAGATTTGCTACGATTTCGCGTTCGGGTTTGTGCTTATGTTTAAGCCCTTCCTTTTGCAACAAGATAAAGTCCTTGTACCCTCAATGAATGATAAAACATATACCCTCAATGAATTATGAAACAATTCTTAAAATTATCACTATTTTAATTATCATTCTTGGTAAAACAAACGTTCGTTAAGTTTTAGGCATAACTGGTTATTTAAAACGATAAAGAATATTGCATATTAGTATTCGACTTGGAGGTGGGTATTATTATCATGCTTAATTTAAACACTATTTATGTAGTTATTTGAAGTATTTCTTGTTTGAGATGTAATTTAAAATATAATTAAAATCTATAAATGATATAAAGGGAAGAATAAAAGTAATTAAGAAATGATCTGGTCAAAGTCAATACTGTTGTTGCCATGGTAAAGTCAAAACTGGAATTTGCCAATCTGTCGACAGACTGACCAGTGGTCTAAATGTTTAGATGTTTGACCAGAAGTTTGGACATTTGGACAAAAAGTGTCCAATAATATAAGACCGCACGTGGACATAAACAATTGACGAATGTGCGGGATGTCATATCGGTATCATCACAGGTCAGTGTTTTCAATTATAGAAAAATTAATTTTAAACAGGTACAAAGGTATAATGCTTTGTCCACAAAACATTGAGAAAATGAGCTTTTAACGTGGTGCTAGTGGCAACGATTTTAAAAAAAAGGAGGCCCGTCATGTATAAGATAGGTGGAAAAATTTCAGCCAATGTTTATCCAGAAATTATAAAATAAATATCTCTTTTGATATTAAAACAAGTTGACTATAATCACTGAGTAAAAGAATACTAAAAATGCTCAACTAATTTAATGATGTGAATTTGAGTAATCGATTATACCAATGTGTGAACAGACATGTAGAACAACACCATGTACATTATAAAAATGCACGTTTGTAACGTCGCTTTTAATTGGATAACCGTAACGTTTATATACACCATATACGCGACTGCTGTCAACTTCTGAAATAATTTATTTTCTTTTTTCTCTAGTTAAAGGGTGTTTGATAATACTATTATAAATTCGTTATGAAAATTCTTGACAGGGTATATGGCCTGGCCAAGCGGCTCTGGTTATATATGCAAACAGCCGGTTATATAGCGCCATATGACCGGTCTAAAGTTTTTATGACCAATATTATAAACATACATGTACTAAAATAGTGCAGGAAAGCGTTTTAGAACAATGTTATTCATAATGAAACGGCTAATGAAAATTTACAGTAATGAATTATATGTTAGGAAAAGACCTCTATAAGCATTGTATGCTTTCGGATCTAATCCTTTTTCAGCACTGTTTATTATGTAACTAATGATTGTATGTAATAATTGTTTGTGTGAAAATGTTTGAATAAAAATATGTTTAAACTAATGAAAATCTCTTATAAATGTAATTATTATGCTGTGTTTCAGCATTTAGAGGGTATTTTTGGTGGCTTTAATCATTCGCGTGCTTGACAAGATCTTAATACATATTTTTTTTATCTTATACCGGTTCTTTTTGTTCAGGTTATAAAAATATATAAGTGCAACACTGTTTTCATTTGAATGGAATATGGTAATATTTGGTTTACTTTCTTTAATATTTTAGTGTTTTAGTATTTTTCATATTTTATCTAGCTATTTGCGCTCTTGGAGATATTTTCAAATGTTATCTCATGTTTTGCGCTCTTGAAGATATTTTCAAATTTCTTCACGCGCTTAGCACTCTTGAAGATATTTTTATCTTAGCGCTTTTGGAGGTATTTTCGAACTTTCGTTTTATGTATAATGTTTTAGCTTTCATTTGCGCGACAATATTGCTGTAGCCTCGCACCAATAATCTTAATCATGCTTGAGAAAAAAAAGAAGAAAACAATACCTATAATTTTTACTGAATTTCAGAAATTATGACTACTAAATATAGAAACCGGTGGGCGAACCTCTAACTTTTATAGTGTCTTGATCAATGGTCAAGTGCCCGGACAAATGCTAACAAGATAATGAACGTGCTGACACCCATATTAACGTATAATAAATATTGTAAACGCGTGTGTTGCTTTTAGCCAGATATCTTAACGATTTTTCTAAATAATGTCTTTGATCCAAACAACAATCTATTTAATAAATTATTATTCACTTATTTGACAAATTATGTATTACATATTTTAAAGTATTAGTAAATTGCTATACTATAATACACAAATAAAAAACCTTTTTTCACTGTTAATTTTGTGTTGTTCTTGTGTTAGTTGTTGATGTAGTTGTTGTTGTTATTATTGTTGTTGTTGTTGTTTCTGCCGCTGCTGGTAGTGGTGGTGGTGGTTTGATGATTGTCGAAGTGATGATGAGGAAGATGATGATGATGATGATGATGATGATAATGATGATGATAATGATGATGATTTATACTTATCGTTGCTCAAATTTCATGATCATATCTATATAGAAACTAACTAAGATAATAGATTCAGAAACAATAAAAATAATTAAAATACTAGTTTAACCACTTAGACTTATTTCACAGTTGATGTAAACTACAGATATATGTATTTCATAACATGATTTAGTGTACTTCCAGTGTCAATCTTCACTAACATTACTTTTGTGACATTGCACGTTTTGAAACTTAAATTTCTGTCTTCTTACATGCATAGAATTGAGATTATTTGTGTGATCTGGCTTTTGACATATATTGATACAAAAGTTCTAAAAGCGTGTGCCAAACCTTTATGTGAATAATAATACTCGTACAGTATTAGTATGTAATGTTTCCGTTATTTTATGTTTTAACCAAAATGTTCTTTTTTATATGTTTTTATATCATACTTTCAATGCAGCAATGTTTTTTCATCATGCAACTTCATATAAAATATAAATATATATTGTATAACTGCTGATAAAAAAGAAGACTGTATTAGTTTACATTTTTCTGTATAATCATCATGCACTGTGTAAAAGGATAAATTTCACCAATGCAAAGACATTTCGAACTAAATATATAAGTCAGACAACTCTGTTTTTTATTTTAATTGACACCCTTACTTGTTAGCAAAAGCATAAGATTAAAATTCGCATTTCTTTACACTGTTTTCTTTATATTTACCGTAAAATAAACAAACATACAAAGAAAGTCGGTTTAACAGAATATATGGTGTGACGTAAGAAGGGGTCAATGTAATTTGTAATTTACTACCAAACAAGAAGTAAAGCAATGTGTAAAAGTGTTATTTGAAACAGCGTGAATTTTAGTGTTACCAATTTAGATTTAAAAGAATTACCGAGTCATTTAATTTTCAAATAAAGTATTTTACAGGGTCTATAACAAAATTAAGTGCGGTCGAATACACGACTTTAGGATTATATAAACATCAAAGATACGAACTCTTAAAGTTCTGTTTTGTGTGGCGAAATCGATGTTTGCTTCATTTCATGTCTACTAAACTAATAAACAAGGTGCCCACGTTGGTCTTTTAAAGTAAACATGTTTACCGACGTGAAATCGAATTACGATTGAATAGTTAAATATTGTACTTGTATTGGTGGTAGGATTACAGACTATGTGTTAGGTAATTGAAATTAGCGCATCGTCAAATGCTTCTGTACGGACCCCCTTTCATCTTCAAACAGTTTTACAGAAGATTACATTGTTGATATTTAACTTTTATCAAACCTTTTCTTCTTTTCAGACTGAAGATATTTTTGTTTACCACTTCCTTAAATACCATAAATATAAAATATTTCAATAATTGACTAGATTTTGAAAAAAAACAGTGTTAAGGTTCTGTACAATACAAATTTATTTTGAACGATTATCATATTTTTGTTTAGATAGAACGAAATGTATTTATGAATTATTTAATGTATATATTACACGTTACAAATAATAAAAATTAAAAAAAAACTAAAGTAGTCAACAGCAAAAATTTGAAGCTTTCCTTTAATACACCAACGTTTAGACTGAGCATCATTCTTCGGGGTATTTAAATTAATAATTAACAATAAACAGGAAATTTATGTTAATGTCTTATGACGTCAAGAGCACGTTATATATTTGAAGTTTTTTTTACTATATTGAGGTATTTTGAGGGTTATTATTGTATCAATGAATCTAAACTCTACATATATTAACTCTTTCAGAATTTTAGAAAAAAACATGTTTAAGTTTTTTTTTAAAACGATCATTATTATAAATGCAGTATCAGTATTAGTATTCCAAGTATTATCATAAGCTGAAGATATTAAGAAAAAGTTAAAAGTGAAAAGTTTAGAAAGGAAAACCTTTCAAAAGCGTTTGACTTGTATATATTGAAAAAATATATGAATTTGTATTAGTAGGTCTTGTGTAAAGAGCGTCCATTAACATCGGTATTAGCTCCCGATTTAATATATTATCACTGTCCTCCGGTTAACTTAAAGTTATTGCCCATTAACAAATTCTTGCTAGTTAAATGAAGCAATTCCTTTTTATTTTCCCATTGTGTTCATTTACAGTGTCTTGAATCGCAAATATTTATTGATGAACATTCCTTCTTAGGAAATGCGTCTAACGTCTAATTCGCCGCGGAAACACTTTATTCAAATGATACAGCTTCGCTCCGCCCACAATTCTCTTGATTGACATTTTCACGCGGTGACACCGGTATCTAACCAAATAGAACGGCGGGAGGGTGGCGAAGTTTGGTAAATGTTTATTCACAAAATCAAATTTCATCTAGTGAATAGTTCTTTTTATAATGTAGCAAACTTAAATATGAACATCTTTGCCACTTTGAAATTCGTGTGGAACATACACAACGACGTAATAGTGATGCGAGTTCTTTATTTGTAAACAGTTTTGTAGATATTACACTTACTGAAATTTATAAGACACTCTTGTTGGAATAGATGTTTCTCGCAAGAAATTTCATTTATATTATAAAGTTGAAAAAAGATTAAAATCTTTCATATAGCTAAGTGTTTTTGTCTATTAAAATATGACAAATAAACAATGTTTAGAGACTGAATAGGCATTCAATTTACGTCAATATAAATCAAAATAGTGACAAAAGCCTTTAGAACTGTTTGTTCGCGTAAAAAAAACGGTAACAAAGCTGATAATTATCAAACTCCGACATTCTTATAGAAAATACATATTTAGAAAATATCGTTGGCAATGCCTCGTCCGGGCCGGAACACATACAATGACCAAAAACCACCGTACAGTTATATCGCTCTAACAGCCATGGCAATCAGCGCATCACGTGAGAAGATGCTGCCTCTAAGTGACATTTACAAGTTTATAATGGATAAATTCCCCTTCTACAGGTAAAATATTCTATTTAAAGTGTTTTATTAGTTTTCATAAATGTGCACCTGTTTCACTTCCGTAGCATTTGTGTTGTTGAAAATTCTTTGCCTTTTTACCATACGGAAAACATTGTTTAGTTTATGTAACATGTCTTTTTGTATAAAATATATAAAGAGGAGACAATTTCCTGCAACTTAACATCATTTTACATATTTTTATAACAAACTATTTAATGATAAAAACACATTTGAAAAACGTAATCCTTAACATATGTTATTTTTTAATGTAAAAATGTTAAAGAGATAGTTAAGGAACTCTTACTCTGCCCTGCCCGGATGAATATGTGTAATAAGATATGCTTGTGAGAGACATTACAATTCTGATAGAAATATAACTTGAATAAGTAAACTTATATGTACACAGCATGTATATAGCCAAACGAGTTAGATTTTTATTGTTATCATTATTCATCAGAAGTTGGTTTTTATACTATGAAAACCCTGCCTTAACTAATAGTAAATGAATAAAAAGTTGAGAATCTTTAACAATAAAAGACCTTTCATTAGCGAATGAAGATATTAATATTGGGTCCCTATGAATATTTTATTTCAATAAAAATCCTCATTATTAATAAACTTAAACAGTATTTCAAGAAATAAAAATTAAATTCAGTAAATTATCTTATAAAACTTGTTGAATTTATACTTCTATAAAGGATGAGGACACTGTACTTAACAATATGAGCGTGGCATAAATATGATTACCATAAATCATTATATTTCAAGTATAGTAATTAATTTTGTTAATAAACAGATTAATAAGTACAAATATAATTTGAACGGTTGGCATATATAATATATTATAATTCTATTAGTTTTGAACTAAAAGTGACAAAGCCGTAATCATACAAGCTGGACCATTCTGAGACAGAACACAAACTTAAAAAAGTCTCTCATACAATAAGGAAAGAGGGCATTCTTCTCATTGGTCTCTCTCAGAGTTGTTAACTTTTCTTTCATTTACTTCTAATTAAAGGAAAATATTCAACGTTGATTATAAAACATGACTACTTATAATAAAATCTGTAACAGAACTGTTCATAGCAGAACATAACTTGAATAAATGCAAACTTTTGAAAGTTATAACGGTTTACAAGGTTATTTGTTTGTACAATAAACACATGGTATGGAATTTCACATAAACAAAAAATAAATAAACAATAATAATTAATAATATACTTTCCACTATAGTAAATTGAGTTTAACATTATTCTGATACAGAATTTAAAAAAAAAACGAAATAAAAATAAATGGCACTTAAAAAATCTAGATTATGCTTGAACATAGAATAAGAAAGTATTTGTTTAAATATCAAACCTTCTTATTTATAAAAAAAACTATTTAATCGTGTATAAATTTTTATATACTTATATACGGATGTATTGTTGTTTTTGATTATTTTAAAATATGTAATATTAAAATATTCTCTAAAAATCAGAGTAGTAGATAGTAGTGTTGGGCTTCGAAATAATGATTGTAATTAAATGTTGACAACTAATTTATCAACATATCAATTTCATCCAAGTACATTGCTTTTGTCATGTTTGCAAACATCTTTAGTGAGGAACGTTGTCCTTACATTTGTTTCGTTACTAATATACGTTAAAATAACGTTTTTAGAAACTGTAAAACAAATCTATATAGCTTGTAAAGTTTTTTTAAAAATATTTTATGCTTAAATTTTAAGGTTTAAAACACTGATATCTGCTTTACGTCCCCTTTTTAAATGGGAAAAACACATTCTTTTAGTACACAAAGAGAAGATTATGGTTTTAACTCTACACATTATAGGTTAAGACAAATGCATAGTGTCATTGAAAATGGAAGGATCTTTTAAAAGAAAGTAACACATTAACATGATCAGTAATTTGGATTGCAGTTTCCCATATTCGTAGTTTGTATATTCTCTTACTGCAATTAGACATAGTCAACGATAATTTCCTAAATTTCAATAAATTTCTACAATAAAAGCTTTTTGCCAACAACAAAACACATAAAAAGCATTGTATATTGTTATAATTAAATAATTATTTTAAATGTATATGTTTCTGTTTCACGAATAAACAACAGCATTTGTAAGTGAAAAATTGTTGTTTTCTTAGTAATATGGAAACTAATAAAAGATAATCAAATATGCACAGCTCTGATAAATTGGTAGATTGAAAGATATCAATCCATCTTTAACATGTAAATTATTTTTGCTTTTTTTTGAAAGCTACCTATTTACTAGTGTTTTGAATTAAATTAGCAGCAATGCCAGAATGATTGAATGTAATCAATTAAAATAAAATGGTTTCAAATGATATAATGTGGCGATTCCTTAAAAACAAATAAGAGTTATAAAGCTCTGTTTCCAAAGACTCTTGTAACAGTAAAACTATACTGTTCACGAACCTTTAGTGCTGACTCTAAATAGACAGGAAAAGCAATGTTCTAGTAGCATAATTACTAGCGTTCATTCCAATTAATTTGTTGCTGGAGAAATGTTGAAATATGTTGACGATTCTTAAAAGTCTACAACAATACATTGTTACATTTGTAAATATAACCCTATTGTTTTGTTTTATTCAAATATTAAGGTTGTCTTGAAATTCAACATTTCCTTATAGTGCTTCATGATATAAAGTGACGTTATATATAAAAAAAATATTAAAGGACACCATTATATGTCGAGAAAATCTGATAGATAATGTTTAATTTATATAAAAACGGATAATTGTTATCTGTGCGAGTTTGAATTAAGCAATAACTAAAACAGTCTTTTTTTATTTTCAGGCAAAACACACAACGATGGCAGAATTCATTACGTCACAACCTCTCATTTAATGACTGTTTCATTAAAATTCCACGCCGGCCCGACAGACCAGGCAAAGGAAGTTATTGGGCGCTTCATCCCTATGCCGGCGACATGTTTGAAAACGGCAGTTTTCTTCGTCGGCGAAAGAGATTCAAACTACACCAACAAAGGTATAACTTTTAATCAAACTTATCATTTCTGACAGAAAAATGTTATCTGTCTGAAATATATTTACAGTATTTCCAAGGATTTTTTTTGTAGTCAACATAACTAGAAAATTCGTTGTCGATAAAACTGTTTTATTAAATCAAAAAAAATCTTTTTGAAATGATGGAGTCAGAAATGACAGTTTAACTTGTAAAAATCAAACGCTTTTCTCGTCAATTATGATTTGTATGATAAGAAAAAGAAAAATCAAGTGAAATGATATAGTATTATTCGGATGTTTTGTGTATTTAGGGAAAATTTCAACATATTTATCAACTAATTTACTGTATTTAATTTTTTTTAATTTTATTGATTTTAAATTGAATTAATAGGAATGACTACTAATAATTATATTTTACAGACCTGTTGCTTTTAGGTTGCTAGTTAAAACTCATACAGACATTTCTTTTTTCGAGTGTTCATTATTCAAAATGTTTTAAAGACAATATTTGTTTATAATTTCCATTTTTGAAAAACAAGGGTATCCATGCACAATTATTTCGATTGAGTAACTCTTCATTAGTGATGAAAATATGCTACGTATTGAGATTTTAGAAGTTGATACAATCGGGTATATTGTAAAGTAACACTTACTTTCGAGACGTTCTTATTTAGAGGCTTCTGACATTTGATATTGTACATCCATTAATTTTTTGGTGGTTTTACTAAACATAATTTTATTTCACAGGCAGCTACAGGCAATGGGCTTACTTCCTCCAGATTCTAACATGAAGCATGGTTTAGAGATGACGTCATATTTACATGATGACGCTAGAGTTCGTCTGCAGCAGTTTGCCGTGAGCGCTGCAAGCTCGACTTATTTAAACAGTCTTCATTCTAATGGACGCTCTGCGTATAAGCCACCATTTACTATTGAAAATATCATTGCGCCAGAAACGAAAGCCGGAAGTTCATTAAATCCGTCACTTCCTGTAACTCCATTACCCGGATTTGCTAGTCAGTTTGGTCCTACACATAACATTCCTCCAAATTTTATGCTACCTTACCATGGCATTAGAAATGAGTCAGACTTAATTACAAGTTTAGCATGTACATATGGACAATTCAATGGACGCATGACAGCTCTTGAATATTATAATACTTTAAAATCTACTCTTCAGCATCCGCCGACGGCGATATCTTTACCTTTGAAACCAACGGCTTTGTCGGCTATATCGTTAGCTAGAAGTCAAGACACTTTAGACAAACCGGTAACAAAACCAGCTATAATGCACAGTGTGGACTCGTTACTGAAACCATCTAAAGAGCAACATTCCCCAACCGGAAGTGCACATGAATTATCACCGGATATTGCAAGTCACAAATTAAATGACAATATGTCGGTTTATAGAAATGGCGGAATTTAGGAAAAACAAATCATAGTTTTTTTCTATGATATGACTATCAATCAAAACTTAAACAATTAAAACAAATATTAAGAGTTATGTTTTATCAAGATGAATAATGATTGTAAATTATATTGACAAAGGAAAATGATCCAAGTGTCGTAAAACTAGTATGTTTTAAAAGTGCATTCTGATCTTCTTTGACAGAGTGAGAATGTCAAAAAATATGATTTAAAATTTTACAATTTTGAAGGGGAAGTCGTAAAAAACTTTATTTTTTTGTCAAAGTTCTTTGTTTATTTAACTACAAATAGAAATTAAAGGCAAATTAGTTCCTATGATGTTGTAGAGAAAACAAATTCCAAAATCCAATTATCAAAAAGTTTGCATATTTCTATTAACCTCTAAGGCCTAAAACAGTAAAAAGATCGATTATGCCAAACTTTTAATTTTGTGTTTCCGTAAAATTATATTTCTTTGTTTAAAAATATTACCTGCAAATCCTGTACTTCTTAACTTATTTTCTATATACAGACGGCTTATTAAATATACACTGACTCGACATTATACGTTTAATATATCTAACTTATTTTGCTGAACAATTTATTTCAATTATTATTTTAAGCAGTTAGTGAAAGCAACGAACGCTGTATAAAGATGCAAAATAAATATTAAAGGACAATTTGTACCAACATGTTCACGGATTGATACTGAAGGTGGGGAGTCTCCGTGAGTGAAAATCCGATCTCGCTACATACACAAAGTGTTCAAATAACACAAACATACAATATTGACAGATGTTTATGGTCGAATTTTGATTGGTTACAACGATTTCTGTCCCAGAGCTCTTTAATGGTGATTACTTGCATATATATCAGGTCTTTTTTGTTGTTAGTTTCAAGCATAATTATTAATAATTAATTTAATATTTCATCCAAGTATGAAAATAATACCAAAATATTAAAATGGTTTTGATGTTAGTAGACTCAATATTAATGTGACTCAATATTAATGTTTGTTTTCCGTGGTTACTTCGGTACCCTGTCCTTGTATAAACCAATTTCAAAAAAAAAAAGAATTTATTAAGAACATACCAAATTGCACGTGCTGAAAATGTGATTTTTGTATTGTTCCTCAAAGAGTAAGGCCTTTTAACCAGTTAAACAATACACTATATGACTTTAACTGAGCATAGAAAAAAACACATTACATGCATGATATTAAATGAAAAAAGATATAAAACCAAATGTGTATGTGTAGAAAACCTGCAATTCACAACTAAGTTACAATAAATAAATCGGTTTCGGAGAGTTACTCTTTTACTTCAAATTATCAGTTAACAGAAAGTTCTTTTTTCAAGATCAAGATAATTGTAAAACATTAGAAAACTTTCAATACTTAAACAAATAAAGATAACAACAATAAATAAAATTTCTTGATTTTGCCTAAGACGATGTAGATATTGTAGAGTTAGATGACAGCATTTATCTGTTATATAACAAGTAAACGCGTCTTTGACAGAATGATAATGGAAAAGGGACAATCACAATCGATTAACAACTACTATTTTATGTGCAATTTCATAAATATAGCAAATGACCCGTTTGTGTTATGTTTCAATTAAAAGGATAATGTATTTATCGCTAATTCATTATAATTATATTATTTAAAGCTAATTCTTTACCCGTATTAAAATTGATAGAAAATTACATCAGGCTCATTATTTTTTTCTGAAATACAAACTATTTCCAGTTAAACGTGTGTTACCTTTATCTATCAATCTATCATTATCTTATTTGTAATATTTACTATAAATTTTGGTTTAAATAACTTAAAACCTGATTTGAAATATCATCATATTAAAACCTTTGCACATTTATAAGAAAACAAAGTTCAAAAAACGTACTAAGATCAAATTATCCAAATAACTGCATGTATAAAATGTGAGTTGATACGTGTTGGAAATGAAATATTTAAGCACAGAATCGTTTAACATAGACATGAAAGGCTAAATAAACATATTTGATATGTAATAATAGCAATAAAACACTTTCATATACCATTCCACTGGGGATGAATCGATATGGGTGGAATTGGATTAAATTAAAAACATTTTATTTAGACATAAAACCAAAATATTGCGATACTTTTTATTGATATTCATCTAGACGTAAAACATGTACGACAGGTATTTTCTTTGATGTTCGCCGCCAAGTAATCGGATGAGGTTTTTACAAAGAGATAGTCGGTTTATGAGCAGATTATGTGTATAACATTTATTTGTAAACAGTTTTCATAAAAAAGTATGACATTAAACAGTTTTCAATGCGGGAGAAATATTGTATTAATATAACTAAATTTGTCAGACGAAATAGTGAGAGTAAAAATGACCTATAACTACATTTCTCGCCGTTGAGATACGGTAATTTGGGAATTGATCAGTCTCTTAATGTTCTTCCCAATATGACTGATTACACAGCCAGTTATAAGATATTTCATACAGTATCATAAGATCAAAGGTCTGTCAGCTCTTGTCAGCTTTGTCATGCGGGAGGGATCAAACTCTCTAGATGTACTTACTGTCCTTGTTAGCAAATATCTGTTCACAGTATAGAGTTGAAACTAGTGAAGTCCACGTTCATAAGTTATACCACTATAAATGATGTTAAAACTGGGTACAATAAGATGAGATAATAAGATGGGTTGATAATACAAATTATGTATTTTGTAAGATGATACAATGGGTTAATGCGATTTTATTAATATTTAAAATGTGTTTATTTATTATCAAAGTCTCATGTATATACATTGTACAATATAATACAGCATTAAACATATCATAAGAACATGTATATAATCATTCTATACAGGATTACAAGAGCCTACAAATGAATAAAGCACATACTAATATACATAGCATTTTATAACAATGACAATTTACATGATAAAACTAAGGCTGGTAATCGTATGTAAAACAAAGGTAAGAATAAATGGTAGGGTGACAATCAGGGCCTAGAAAATGATGAACCTGGACAGTCATTGCAACAATGAATGTTATATACCAAAATGTTCATTAATGTATGTAGTATATGAAACCACCGGCATAAATTGGGGAAAATGATGGCGATCAAAGAAATCCAAGATGGCCGTCAAGATGGCCGCCATCATGGAAAATTTTCAAGAAATATTCTTTAAGCTATACTTTTATTGCAAAGTTTGAATTTTACCAAATTGTATCAGCCCTTTAACATTATTTTAAAGGAGCTTGCATAATTTTAAACTTATTTTACTAGTTTTCTGAATCAAGGCAGCGTCAAATTTAAGGATAAAGTGAAAAATCATAGAAGATACAGTTCAAAAAATGTATAAGTTGACACCAGTTTTATATATTATTTTAATTAAAAGAGATGCTTTACTATGATTTTTTTTACATTCTTTGTGAATAAATCTTTATCTTATTTCAAAACCTATGAAAAGCATTATGAAAGTTCAAACATGTACATGCATATAAAAGTGTAGAAACAAGTAGTAACATTATTATACTAAGTTCTTTTATGTTGTATGGTGTACATAAACATTGATACATTTGCTTATATTAATGTAAAAATTCAGCAAAACCAAAACAAAAATCAGTGGTTCAATTTGATAAAATTTAAAGGGTTTTCAATGTTATTTTCTACAGTAACTTTCTATACGTATATGACACAGTGATTTAAAAAAGATATTGTTATTTATGTCAAACCACAGTCAATGTAACACTTAGTGTATTTTTCTTTTCAATTTCACTATGGACAACCATCATCACGATTATCATTTGTTTCAACATTTGCCGACATGGTAAATGTATTTGCCCTTGTAAAACCCCTTTGCAAGACCAGGCTGTTATGGTACACGACTGTACATTGCCCAAACAAACACGATGATCACTGCAAAGGTTAGAACAAGTATCAGTGATTTTCCCACTTATATAACAGACTCCGAAAAAAGGCTTCTTCCCAATTGAAATTTTCTTTAAAATCATGCAGTTTTCCCAAAAATCTGAACTTAAACCAGCTTTTTTACTTCCCACATCAGCAATTTTAGCGATAATTTTTCCCAAAATCAAAAGGCTAAGGCCTCTTCCCAATAAAGAGAGAAAAAACACTGAGTATAAACATGGTCACTCAAAAGTTCAGATACGGCTGAAGGTTGTGTCATAAGCTGTGGATTGTACATTCCTAACTATATCCAAAGTTGATGAAGTGGAGGAATTATTGTTTTCTAAGATGAACGCCATACGAATAACTGAAGTATACATCGCAGTAAATGAAGAATAAAGCTATCATTTGTTGAAGCTCATTTCCTTGATATGACCCCCCTTTTGCAAAGAACCCGGGATGATATACTATACAAGAGACCAACAAACTTAAATGCAGCAGTGTTAGCATGAATTGGAAGTACCAGATCTTTTCCTAGGTCAGTAAGATTTTTAAGATCATTAACAGCCTTACACATTACCTGAAAAGCCTTCCTCTTTCCTATGCTACGGAATTATGAACAGGTATCACAACCTTTAAGATAATACACAGAAAGTATGATACTTCTCTGTTGTGGAGGCAGAACACTGAAATTTTTACTGTATATACCGGAATATATCTTGTCAGGTCTCTGTGCATACCTCTACTACCAGTTAAGAAATACTTTCCATATTAAGCTCTGAGAAATGATTTATAAGAAGTACAAATAAATCAGTATAAGGACTAAAAACAACAGGCTTGCTGTATACCTAATGAGGACGCAAAAGCAACATGCAGAATTATCCTGCTATCAGCTTCTTCATGATTTGAATCTCATATTGGAACATACTCCACACATGAAGGAGTGATTTTTAAATTTGTTCATCTAATCCTCCTGCTGTATAATTAGTGGTTCTCTCATCAGGACAAGTTACTCATGACAGTTTTCAGTGAGATATCTAAAAAAGAATTTTGTAGGTGGATTTTGTCCCCTGCCTTTTCGAACAAAAAAGGGGGATATAGAAATAGATTTTTATAATAAGACGATGTGTCATGCGCAACAACCAGACCCCTACCTCCAGGGTCGAGGTCGCACTTGCTCATTCAAGGTCAACATTGTCTATTTGTCTATAACTTCTTCATAGTTCAAGGGATTTTGAAAATACTTGGCACAAATAGTTACAATAATAAGATGATATGTCATGCACAACACCTGCATCCTT